ATAAACATATTTGTTATTACGTTGATATTTGTATATGCTAATTGCCATTTTTATTGTGTTTTAATGTATTTATTTGTTTTAAGGAAACGATTGGGACACTATGACAGATTCTATTAGTCATACCAATCTTGTGTTCTATTAACGTTTTCTAGACATTTCTGCTATTTAGCCCGTGTATCCTTGTCTAGTTTGTGCTTTTGTGACATTCTAATAGGACGACTTCACCATTTTACTTCTTAGGTGTTTTTTGTTGTCTTAAATTATTTTGCCATAAAAAAAGAGGATGTGTATGGTATTACATTTGCTTCTTATTTGGCCAATTAAGAAGGTGAATTGTGTTAAAACTATGCACTCATTGAATGATTTGTGTTTTTGTGTCCATGAGCCATTGCATTAATAATACTTTAACCACTTAAGGACCGGACTGTTTTGGCCATGTTGTACGTTAAGGACCAGCCCTGTTTTAATAAACACTTTTGTGGTGTTTGTGTTTAGCTGTAATTCTCCTCTCTCTGTTACTGTTCCCATACAAATTATATATTGTTTTTTTCAGGAAAAGAAGGGCTTTCTTTACGTACCATTATTTGTATCATGTCATATAATTTACTTTAGAAAAAAAAAATATGGCGAATAATTGAAAAAAAACAACACGTTTTTGTACTTTTACATGAAAAATCTTTTACTCATCTATAAAAGCTAATTAAAAAAACTACTAAACAGATTCCAAATTTTGTCATGAGTTTAAAAACACCCAGTGTTTAATGCTTTCTTGCAAGTTATAGGGCAAGTAGAACATTGCTGTTTCCAATAAAATAAAAATAAATTTAATATATATATATATTTACAATCTACCTATCCTACCCTATGCTAAAATGACTAGAACTGACTAAAACTACCTAATACATGTCTTGTTATAAAAAAAAAATAACCCTTAAGGGCAAACATAAATAAACACAGACAGTACAAATGCGCTGCTTTAACAGCATTTGGCAGGGAAGGGGTTAAAAGGGAATTGTATTTTTGTTTTTCCACAGTACTACAGTTTGGAACACTTCTGGCAACAAACTATCTCTCTCCCTCTCAAAAACGCTACAGAGGAGAGAGGGGCAGAGATCACTGTCAACGTGAGTTTGTAACACCCACTTTGACAGCAGCCAATAATGAGCGATCGCGTGTTGCTCAAACAACATAATTGGCTGTTACTATCTGCCTCACATGCCTGTTTGTTTTAAGTTATGACGGTTCAGGACTGTCATCAGTCCTCAAGGGGATGTTTCTCATGACGGTCCTGAACCGTCATCGGTCCTTCAATAAGTTAATTAAGACCTCAGACGTGCTGGATTATCATTTTTTACACGCAGATTAATATGAACTATAGTACAATAAATTAAAACCTGGTAACTCATTAAGGAAATATTTTGATTCTTTGGAGTAAGATTTGTATAGATCCCTCTTAAAGGGTTACTCCAACCAAAAAACAGTGTTTTCATAAAACACAGTATTTTGAGAAGAGCAACCCTTCACAAGGTTGTTCTTTCCCCAATTGAAAAAAAGTAAAAAAGCTAAACTTTACCTCCATTGCATCGTCAAATCCAAGATCCTCCTCACTTAACATCTCTCCTCCTCAGTGAAAGAGGAGGGAGAACAGACTGAGTGAGGACAGGAGCAGCGTGACTGTCTGTCAGATTCCAGCTTTGCACAAAATTGACTTTATTCTGCTTGGATCTTTGTTCTGGGTTGGCTAATGACGCTGCCGGAGTTAAAGTTACAGCAAATTGATTATTCTCTCTATGTGCAGCATTTCAAAGAGAAACGCTGCACATGCAGACACCAGGCACCATGACCACTTCAAGTTACCAAAGTAGTCATGGTAACTGGAGTAACCCTTTAGATCCGAAGTCAGGTCATTCTGCTTAGTGACATCAATCCTATCATAGCTTTCGATTCATGCCATTAGTGTAGGCATATGGGTTCTTCACTAAAACGCTTAATCAAAGAGCAGTCTATTTGTATTAAACTTGACTAAACGTGCCTAAAATTTGCAGTTCCTTGGTTAATTCTTGGTTAAAATCTGATTTTGTTACTTTTTTTCCCCTCTCTGATAAAACCATGGAAAGTCATGGGGTTAATATATATTGTTTTGTTCTACAAAGTGATCGAAAGCATGAAAAGTGATTCAGTCACCATGGAAACCAGTGGAACTAGCAGGCACATTCCATTAGTGACTCCTCTCCTTTTACATTGTTGCATTACTTTTTAGAACTGAACATTGTGCACCTCTCATTTGCTTCTGCCCTTTTTATACATATTTTTGTACTGCAGCCTAACCATTCAGGAGCAGGATTCATGTCCAACTGCAAGGTGATTAGATAGGGGTTTAGTGATAACTTGTTCACAGGTTTTGGAAGTAAATGGATCTTAGGTGTGCTTCTCTCATTCATAATAGTTTTTTCAGAGTTGAAACTAGAAACCGTTATCTGCTCCACTTTTTTTTTTTTTC